GCCCATTCAGAAGTGCAGGAGGAGAGACATATTTTGGGGTGGGGAGGGAGAAGAGGAGGAGGAATCACATTTTTTTACTAATGTTCTTTGGACATTCAAGTTCCAGCTGGGAAACTAGGACTTATTAAAGTAAGATTAAGATGTAACATGTGCAAGGTGCTTTTCTGTAAATTACACAAGCCAAGGGGGATGGATTGTTATCTTTCCAGTGAAAAATCAAAAATAATGTTTCAAAGAGGAAACCGAAATACACAATTGGCTATGCAAATGTTGTTAAGAAAACTCTATGCTCCAGACAATGGCCTACACTCCGTTCATAAAGGACTCCAGGAAAGTGACTGGATATAAAAACCAAACAGGGAAAAGGCTTATCAGGCAGCTTGCCATTCTCATCAAGGTGGGATCAGACCATAATAAAAGGGGGAGCTTGGCAAAAACTCAAAACAAACAAGCAGTCTAATACTGGGGCCAAGAAAAGAGAACATGAAAGAGGAATGAGAAGGCCTCATTGGGGACCAGACTTTTGTGGGACACCAGTTGGTGGTATTCAAGTGTTCCTATACCAACCTCTCCAGAGTAGGTGAAATAAACAGGAGAACTAGAAATCCTACTTTGAGAAGACAAATAAGATGCCAGGTATGATGGTATTCATGATTGGCACATAGCAACAGAAGGAACCAATCTAAAAGAAGAGGGAAGGGGAGTTGCATGTATGTATATAAAGAAAAAACATATCCTTGTACAGAAATATGTGAATCAGAGCACAGTAGGTATTTAGGTTAGAATAAAAGAGGTGGGGGAAGGTAATCCTACTGTGAGAATTTATTATAGACCACCTGGGCAGGCAGAAGAACAGATGAGGTCTTTCTGCATCAGTTGGCCAATCTTTCAAAAAGGCATGCAGTAGTACTAATGGGAGGTTCAGTTATCCTGACATCTGCTGGGGATTTGCCAACAAATTATTCTCTTTCTTGACAACAACTTAATTTGTCAGAAGGTGGAAGGAAGAACAAAGGGTTCTGCTGCCCTGGATCTAAATCTCACCAAGAGGGGAAAAAAATTGGGTGAGGAAGTAAATGTGACTGCCACCCTGTGGGAAAATATTATCCTCAAAGTTGTGACATCAGATTGGAGGAGGAAGGGAAGAGAGTCAGATCTGCATAGTGGATATTAGAACAGTAAATTCTGAAAATTCAGAGGGAAGCTATTTCAAATCCAGCGGCTTCAAACCCTGAAGGAGAAAAGTAACCAGGAATAATAGGACATTCTAAGAAATCAGATACTGAAGATCCACTGCAAACAATTCCTATTTTTAAAAAATGGGGAAAATATAATAAGCCAATGTGGATACATGAAGAACTCTCTAAAAACACTGCAAAGGGGCGGGGGGCATGCCTAAGACATGGAAAAAAGCATATCATAAATAAAGACTACAAATAATCTCCAAAGCCTGTAGAAACTGTGTGAAAAATGTTACAGCTCAGAATGAGCTGAGATTTGCAAGGGATACCAATGTAAAAAGAAAGAAAGAAAGAATTTGAGTTTGTCAGAAATAATAAATCAAAGTGGAGAGGCTGCAACGGGGATGGTGAAAAGCAAGAACTTCTTAACTGCTATTTTGTGTCTGTCTTCCCTCAGAAGAGAGCCCTTGTCGCAGATATTTTGTTCTATTGCTCTGACCGCTTTTGGACCCTAAATTTCAGTGTCCCTATTGTACAATCTATTTGTTAAAACATTGAACTGGGCCTCAATTTTTGTAACTCAGTCTTACATTTATGCTTAATGATAATCCTTTTTGTGGTCAGAAAATTCCTGATGCCTTGGTTTGGTTTGGTTGGGTTGGGTTGGGTTGGGTTTGATTGGTTTGTTTGGTTTGGTTTGGTTTGGTTGGTTTGGTTTGGTTTGGTTTGGTTTCATTTGGTTTAATGGGTTGGGTTGGGTTGGGTTGGGTTGGTCTGGTCTGGTCTGGTCTGGGAGTTCCTGCATAGTGGATGCCTTTCTGTAATCTGGGGCTGTCCATGTTTCTTGACATTTCAATTAAATTTGCTAGTAAGGATTTGTGTTTGTTTTCTCCCTTAATATCATTCAGTTATGAATAAATAAACATGAGGGCTGAAAATTATGTAGCTGTGATCCCCATCTGCCTGGGAAAAAGCAACAGTATTCCAGTCCTAGAATGTCTATCAAGCATTGTCTTCTTGACTTTATCTTGAACTTCTAAGAGCATCATCCAGATATCCAATATGGGCCTAAAAGGCTGAAATCAGCTAATAACTCTAATAGTCCAAAAATGTTTTCATTTTGGCATTAATTCTTTTAGCCAAGAAAGTATCTGCAGCAGGATACAGATTCCCATAAACCAGCAAGGTATAAAAGCCAGGTGAGAATATGAGGTAGGCAATCTTTTTTTTAAAAAAAACTGTTATACAAAGCATCAGAGCATTAACGAGAAACTATTCCACACAGGTAGCAGTTGATTCCATTAGTTATGATTAAATTTATTAGATAGCAGTACAACTGCATGCTAAGCAATTGAAAGCTAAGTCCAAGCAATCTATTTCATTACCTCCGTCCCTTCTCCCTTCCTGACAACCTGTATTTTTCATTACTTTTAGTTAAAAAAACAATGCTGATACTTTCCCCTGGTGCTGCTTCATTAAAAAGCACAAGGATACTAGATCTGGATTACTGGCTGAAACTTATGAATAAACACACATCCACAGCCAATCATTCATGTCAATTGATGGGCTAAACTCTCTGATGCAGGTGAGAAGGAGCATGTGGCGTTTAGTGTCTGCAAATGCTGCCACCTTGTCTCCAGGGAAGCTTCAGGCTTCCCATTAATCTTACCTTAATGAGATGTTGTACAGAAGCAAATGGGAAATTGCCACTGTTTCGTACTTCTGCTTAGTTGCCACCTCTTTTTGTTGGTGTATTTGTTTCTCAGCTGCCTGGGTTTTTAGGGAGGGGCAGTTAAGCTGACTCATAACACAATCAGGGAACAATTCAGCTGATGAACAGCTAATAGAATATCAACATTGGCTTAAGGAACTTCCCCACACCAACCATATTAAGCCCACTATAAAGTAACAACTTTCAAACCACCTCCTCTCCCTATTGTTGGCTGAAGTAGCTTACTGATGTGAAATGATCCTCAAATTTCAAGTCATATTTGCAACATTTTTTTCCAAATGGACTCCCTAATTTTAAAGCAAGATCCATTTGATAGCTTAGTTTTGGGAAGAGTTATCTAGATCCCCAACCACAGGGCCATGAACTGTTCAGAACTGGACCACGGAAGTGGCAGCCGAGCACACATGTGCGGCTCCATTTACGTGTGCAATGGGTGGGCAAGCGCATGTGCACACAGCTCCATTTGTGCAAGCAATTGCGTGTGTACTCGCCTCTTGTGCAAATGGAGCTGCACGCATGTCACTCATGCAGAACCAGCCTCTTCTCCCCAGCTGCAAAGCTGAAAAAGTTGTAGACTGCTGATTCCATTCCAATTTCTACAATGAAGCGTCTGTTTACATGCCCACTAGATTACCTCACACCAGTAGTTTTTCAGCTGTGGTCCTCAGAAATCTTCCAAGTGGCCCAGAGCCTTCCCACCCATTAGCTATCTAAAACCCTGCTCAGTCATTCAGCATTTCTGTCGCTGCTCTCCCTCCCTGTTCCTCCCTTTGCCATTCAATTCCTTTGACATCTTACAGCTTCTCCAGCATGATGTCACACAACTTCCATTTCTAACAAGAATTCACTCTCAGTGGAGTTTGCAGACTGCAGCCCTCAATCATGTATCATGCCTTTCAGTGCCTGGAGCTCATGAGTCAGTCTTGCTAACAGGAAGGCGATGTAGGTGGCTGCATCTTGCCCGCACTGCCTGCTTTCTGCAAAGGAAAGGTCACAGGAGCTGTTTGTGCTTTACAGAATTGCTTCTTAGGTTCAACAAGTTCACGTTCGAGTTGCTTATCATGCTAAGTTGTCTTTACTGTTTCACAAAAAAATGAATCAGTGGTTAAAAACAGGTTCGCTTATGTGTACTGTGTCAAGTTGAGGAGTAAAACTCATCCTGTTGAATGGGTCTTGAGTTCAAGACTATGAATCCATGTAGAGGTACGCAATGTGGAATTAAGATCTTTCACTGACAATTCACAAAGAAAGGTGTGAATGGGAAACAAAATCAGCATCTAAAAACTGGGTTTCCATTGGGATGGAGACACATGCAACCCTAGCTCTCTGCATTTTATGTTATGAAAATTTGCAAGCGATGCCGTTAAGCTAAAGGGTTGCTACTAAATGTCACAAAGTACATAAATCAATTCAAATGCATATTGAAAAGTCCAGCTTTAAATGTTAAGTCCATGAACATGAAGAATGATGATTACAGATGGTCCTTGACCTCACTTAGTGACCGTTTGAAATTATATCAGCACTGAAAAAAGTGACTTACAGCTGGTCGTGAGATACTTAAGACCATCATAGCATCCCTGTTGTCACATCATCAAAACCTGAGTGCTTGGCAACCATCATGTATTTCTGTTAGTTGCAACAACCTGGGGTCATGTGATCACCATTTGCAAGCTTCCCAGTTGGCTTCCAACAATCACAATCAATGGGGAAAGTTGGATTCTCTTAATGATTGCGTGACTCTCTCAACAACTGCAGTTATTCGTTTAACAACCACGGCAACAAAAAGGTTCTAAAATCAGGCCCGACTCACTTAACAAGCACATTGCTTAGCCACAGAAACTGTGATTGTAAGTTGAGGACTACCTATGAAACCAAAGCAGGTTTGTTTTTTTTCTGAACTAAGGACAAGTTTGTAATTCAATACTAAAGAGAGGCAATTCCCTTCTTCGTGCTTTCTTTTACATCAATTAGTCACCATAAGTGAAGGAAAACATGGGATATGAAGGCATGGCTCTCCCTGTATGAGTGCAGAGATCTTCCTAGGTAAGTGGGATATTAGGAAACATCACTCCACCCTCCTTAAGTACCTTATTCAATGTGTTCAGGGCTTGCTGGGCAGCAGCAAGGGCAGGTTCAGCTTGTGCCAAATCTTTCTCACAGTCCTTCTGTTTCTGCTGCACCTCCTCAGTAATCAAGGCCACCTTCTGCTCCTCCTCATCAGCAATGGCCTTCTCCTTACTGACTTTCTCGGTCTCAGTGCCCACCACCTGAATCAGCTGGTCGGCATCTTCATTCTTCTGTTTCAGCTCCACCTCCTGAGCTGCCAGTTTGGCCTTCAAATCATCTACCTGGAGCAAAGGCAAAGAGAAGCCAGTCAGGAACCTTTGCACACACACACACACGTACACACGGACGCAAGGTTCAAGTGAAAAAGAATAGATGTTTTCTAAAACCAATACTGTAGCAGCGAATAATTTAATGCATTATAATACTATAAAGGTAACTTAAAAAATACTAAGGCGTCTTAGTATTGTAACAAATAAACAGGATTAGAAAAGTACTTTGTAGTTTTTTAAAAATCATAATGTTTCTAAATACTAAATTGTCAAGGGTGTGTATGTGTGTAGATGCATGTAAATCTTGTTAAGAGTCAGTGACTGGTAAAATATAGAAGGGGGCTAAAACCATAAAGAACCAGAAACCCATAATTTTTAATTGAATTGTCCATTAGTGAAGTCCTAACACTTAAAGGAATAGTTTCTGGCGCAAAGTAATGAAGGTCAAAAATAATCTGCAACTTCCCTAGAGATGGTATGGTTCCTGCCCAACAGTAAGAAGCAAATGAAGTCATCCTCACAACTACCAGAAAGTTACTACTTTTTACTAGCAGAAAGTGGAGTTATAAAGATAGGATGCAAGTTGCTATAGAAAATATGACTAAGAAAAGCATAAGCTTAAGAGTTTCAGGTTCCTCCAATGGGTGGGTTCGCTCTGCAAAAGAGTTATTAATAACACTTTCCCTCCAAGATTGCAAAGGGCAAGGCATTAAAATGAGCTAAGGAAAAAAGCTTGTCAATATGCTGGGCAGGTAAGATTGCATAGATAATTTGTGGTGTGAATGGTTTCCTATTTAGGTGTTGCCAGAGTAAATGACCCAATTTGCCCTGCTTTACTTGGAAGGCTACGTCAAATGCCCGTTTGACGTTGAGTAGCATCTCTGGCTCTTGGTAACCTCTCAGCCAAGAGAGCTGCACTTGAGAAGCCTCACTGGCATAAATTTTCCAGGAAGAGGAAAATTTATCAAGTAGGCTCGCAGCAGTCAGAGAGTCACTAGAAAAGTGAAAATTGAGCCAAAAATAAATCAGCATATGCCAGCCTTGGATTCCAGGGAGATCATTCCAGTTTTTAAACTTGAGTGCCACTGTTGGAGACAGCAAAGTACTTGGAATAGCGTTCTTAGGAATCTCAACTAGGTGATGTCTAAAGGCTTTAAGTTATTCTAAGAAATAGATTTTTATTTTTTACTTGTGAAACTTTCTTTTATTTTACTTATTTCTCAAATTTATATGGCCACTCATTTGTTCTGAGCAGCTTACAACAAAGGCTACTACTAAAACCTACTACAAATCAATTAAAAAACATGATTCTTGGTGCTCTCTGAGCTTTTGTTGTTGTCTTGCAGGCCTTCCATTGCCCTAGATAACATCATCATCACCAATGGAGAAGGGAGACGGATCACTCCCAATCCCTGAAGTTGGTCCAGAAGAATACCATGGTGAATAGTATCATGACTGAGGGATCCAGAAGGACCAGACAGTGACACCACCTCCATCCTGAGCCCTAAAGCCACACATATTTGTCTAATGCCATCTGTGTCCTGTAACCCACAAAAAATGTAAAAGGGATGGACTGAATGTAGAGAGGGAAGATATATTTACCAAGGCAACAAACAGATAAATGTGGCTTGAGCCCATATGAAGGTAAAGATTTATGATGATGCCTAAGATATACATTCACACACACACACACAATTCACATGAAGATAAAAGGGGAGGAAGGGAGGCACATCCAGACAGGCAAGATTCTCTTACTACATGGTGCCATGCTCATGATATACAGCTTTGCTGAACAGTTAATCTGTTCTCCAGTCCCGTTGTTCTGATAGGAGGCATATTTACTCTTTGTTTGGAGAAATAGAATAAGCACTTCACTCAGCAAAACTCTGTGGCAGCATTTCATTTATTTATAGATCTTTGGACAATTGTGGGGGGAAATGAAGAAACACTTTTTCTTCCCATATTCCAGATACAGCTCACACCTTTCAAACTGAATAAAATAACATTGTGAAGTTGAATGTGTATATGAATAGAACGTTTATCAGGTTTTAAATATTCTGATGAGGCATTGAGGTTTTGATTTGTAAGGCTCTACCAATCCATAGATCAGGTACCCGAAAAGAGAGAATCTAAAATTGCAATCACCTCTTTCTCTCCTTGTAAGAAGAGATAGAATATATAAAGAATAGAGAGAGAAAATCATATTTTAAAAGTATCCCAAAGCTGCAGAGCATACAGTAGGATTTAACAACAAAAAGAGGAAGGCCAGCTATTAAAAAACACACACTTTTTCTATTATATTAAGAATGGATGTAAGAAATGGCAACAGAGCAAAAGTATTGGTCTTATGGATAGAAACTCTAGGGAAAACTTTTTCAGAACAAAACAAACCCTGACAATATTTATGCTCAAATAATATAGTACATGTCACAGTATGTGACAATACTTGTCCAATATTTTTTTTTAAAGAGATTATCCCAGTAGGGAGCAATTTGTGAGTGTAGAAGCAGCAGGAACAGTGGCACTTCTGCTTCCTGGCCTAACATTTTCCTCTTTCAATTCACTGAATAAGGCTGTGTTTTTTTTTACCCCCTGAGAAAGTTTGGAAGTGCCCTTCCTCTACATCATCTGCTCTGCTCCCAAGTATTACCCTCAAAATTATATCTCCTGTTTGAAAAAAATATTCTCAAAAATGTATATCCATAGGCTGATTTAACACACTTTACTAAACCATAATGTGCCTTGGTCAGGACTTAATTGAGACAAAAGCTGCCACTGTGATGTTTAAACCAAGGTTTATGCGTGGGGGAGTAAATTAGATGACCCCAACTAACAAATCTAAGAGCTTGGAATAAATTCTGCTATCAGCTATGTAAAAACCCTGCAAATTGGAGCACTAAACTTACAAGAAAGGCCTGTTGAGAATCATTTCTAGGGCTGACTCTGCTTTGAGGAAGATTTGGGCAAGTGTTCCTTTGGAGCAGTTTCTGCACATGCCAGAAGATGCTTCAGTAGAAACAAAGCCGCTCAGACTCAGACTGATCAGCCCAATAGTTCTCCGACACAGAGCAATTCACTGCACTGAGATAGCAACACACAAGTTGAAGAATGCCATCAAGGGAGATTGACTATTAGCTGCTCAGGTTTAGGAAATGTTAAGGAAAGTAGTCATTAAGTAAAAAGCAAGTGCTTGGCTTTGCTTGTGTTATAGTTTTGTGTTAATTTGGTTAACGGCTCAACTTTGTCATCCCTGTTCACAAGTTGATTTTTCTCCAGGGTTTAACAAAACCGGTACACCCAAAGAGGCTAACTAGTAACCAAAGCAACACAAGCCATTTTTTTTTAAATGCAGACATAACATACAAACGCAGAAATATTCCTCTTGCTAGCTCCCTCTCTATAGGCAGAACTGGGAGAACCAAAGCAAATCATTTCACTTGACTCAACAGAGATTATCGGCAATAATCATCAAATTGTAACTAATTAATGTGTACAGTTTGCTTTGTTAAAGAAAGGGGAAGATCTGTCTGCTTTAAGAAATCTTAGGTGGAAAGGAGAAGAAAAAGCATGCTGCATTTAAGCAAGCCCTGTGTGTATAGAAAGGTTCTGTGTATAGAAAGATTCTGTGTGTATAGAAAGAAAACCCATATTCTAAATAAAGAGCTTGAAGGAGAATGCCAGCATGCCTTTTAATTCCAATTGTCTGTGCCAAATGTCAGGATGTAATATACTGCATCAGAAAGCTTGGCAGTTAATTGGTATAGCAGGAGAGTAAAGAGCCCACCGTGCAATTTTTTTAAAAAAGAAAAGCAATGCCAACAAGTTGCCATACATAGTGGTAAGGCAACCTCCCTTTCACAGCAGGAAACATGCTGAAAAATAAACTGATTGCCCAAAGAATTCTCTTTCCCAGCATGTCTCAACTTCACAGGAAGAAGGAGAAATGAAACCTCAAACATTTCTGGAAATAAGGAGATAGTTGCAGCAAGGGAGAAGGAAAAGAAGCAAAGGTTATTCCCCAAAAAAGAACCCCAAAGACTCAGGACTATTCTGACTGTCCAAAAGTTTTTCCAAATTTTATTTTTTATAAAATATATATTTTAAAGCTAGAACAGCTAAGCAGCAAATTGAGTAGTGATTCAAAGTTGTAAATCAGAAGCTGGCTGCTTCCAAAGTAAAGCAGTATCTCAATCAATGGAGCTCATTCTCCACAATTACGTTCTGCAAGAAACCAGAAAAGAATCAAATCAGGAAAGCTTAGTGGTGTTTTCAGACAAACTACAACTTATAAACTGCTCTGAAAGTGCTTCAAAATTTGCCCTATTTTTTTTTGGGGGGGGGGGGGGTCTTCAGTTCTTCCTTCATAATACAATACCAGCATTCTTCTTCAAATTTAAACTACTTTAATTCTTGTTAACCTATCTATAAGAATATGAAAGAAACATTTGCATCAAATTATAGGAGTGCTTTTGAAGGCCATATGGGTTTTAGTTTGGAAATGATTGTCCTGAAGATCCACTTTGAGAAAAGAGTGAAAGGTGATAGAGCTGCAATCTCAATTCACACTTCTTGTAGATTTTTGTTGGTGGTGTGTCTTTACAACACTTCTTTGATCAGAGATTTCCATATACCAGGTCAGGAAGCAACTATCCATAATATAAAATTGGCTGGGGATTTCTGGCTGTTCATGTTGTGGGGCCTAAATTCAACGGAACTGACTTAAAATTTCATGACCTACTGAACATAGGGAGAAGTAATCTTTGGACAGATACTTAAGGGCTTACTCTGGGCATTTATTTATTTATTTATTTAGCATATGGCAAATACATGGACTTATAGTTGTTCAAATGTTAATGTCCAGTCCACCCATCCATTCAAGGACTGGGTGGTCTATGTTGAAAAAAATCAGACATCAGGCCGGTGTAAGCCCTTGATGGACATTCAGATTCTGGGCAGATACACACTTTCTGCTTGGTCTTTTTCCAATTTAGACCACTCATTGCTTCCTGAATGCAAAAGTGGACAATCTTCCCACTCATCCTACTGAAATGCACCCAGTGCATATGATTTCCAGCTTTGAATCAGAACTGTATTTTCTGACCTGAGCAGGCTTCAGACCCTCAAAGTGGATGGTCTCTGCTGATTAGTTCTATTCTGGTGGCAGCCCCTGGTCCAACTGATGCCCTGCCAAATGTTTGTTTGATTTCAATCTTGCAATTGATGCAATGATGGCCTCTTAAGTCCCCTTTTGGCCCTAGAAATTCATGCTCCAATCAATCCTTTCAACTCCCAATAGACACCCCATTGATTTCTGCTCAGCTGGATGAAGCTTACTCCTCTTGCTTTTTCACTCCCTGCCCACAATACTGCAAAACTTTCTTTACTTTTAAGGCCATCTTTAAGCTGAAATATTGCTCCACTATTCTTATACAATATAATACTCCCCCCCCC